TTGCTGACTGACGCTTTCATTCTACCGGGCTTTTGCTGTTATAGCGCTTCTAGGCTAACCAATTTGATCATTGTCAAGAAGTGCATGTTTTGGGAGAAATCGTGCATGTACAATATGAGTGTGGGCAATTTGCTGATTTGGATCACGCGCGAAAGAGAAACCCGGCGGTCACTGGATGAATGATGTCGTGTTTCCCGATCCTTCTTAGGCACTGAATGTTGTATTGGCGGTACAAACGGCCGTTCATCGGAAAACTTGACATTTTTTGTTTTGTTTTCAAGTAGTGTTTTAGAGTATGTTAGTCGGGACGGTCATCGGATCTAGATCCGTTCGCCGTCTTTATCAGTCGGTACACTTATCGAAATTTCTGTTCGAATCCCTTATTTGACTAATGTGATGTGTTTGTTTGTCTTCATGCATCCCATTATAACTCCGCAATTTTGGGTACTGTGGTTCGATAACGATCGAACGACTGACTCCGCGCTTGTCAGAATTGAAGACTACTTCAGTCATAGAGTATGGCATCCGGGCGAAAACTTGCTGAACATGAACATGTCTTGGCAAATCCCAAAATTTAGGTTCGTCGAGCGTTGCGTCGAAAACTAGACTAATGATCTGCCTCCAAACGTCCACCACTCCAAGAGGGTTCACTGTGGACTTGATACAAGTAAGGATGACTGGAAGTCTTTCTGTGAGTTCAATCGTCACATTGAGGCAGGAGGCAGGGCTGGGATGGCTTTCTATTCTCGGAGGGTGATATACAAAGAATATGCTGTCTACATTCCACCACGAAGAGCTAGCACCAAATGCAGAACTGAGCCGGCCTCGATATTGTAGTTGGTTGCTGTTTTCTCATCCGACCTGAACAGAATATGATGAGTGCGTGATCAGATTGTTTGCCAGTTGCACACTTACATTTGCTTTCCCCCAAAAATGAGACTAAAATAACGACCAAATCTTTCAGTTCAGTTCTTGTTTAAGAATTGGTTTACAAGAAACTACTCACCGTTGTTGTGCTGGCGGAATTCCTTCCTTCTCCTCTACACGTTCCTTGATTCGGGTAATCTAATTACAATAATGGATCAGCTTGGTGGTCACAACTACAGCACATTCAGGTAGATTTACCTTGTCATTTGGCTCGATATCAATCTCAATCTGAAGGGATCGGAAGACATTCCATTAGTTTGTATTGGAGGCAGGCGTTGCTACTATCCTGGTCGGCAATTTACCTCCTTGCCTGTCAGCGTCTAAAAATGCAAGAACGCGGGAATTTAGCAGAGGTTCACTGAGAAAGCCAGAGGTGATATGACTTCTTACCTTCACCTTGATCAACATTATGAGAGATTTGTTATGTAGAAGGTAGTCTTGGGGAGATCCTAAGGCAAACTTTCCTTTCCACTTTTGAGGCAGCAACAGCGCCAGACACTATAAATTTGATATGCCCACTCTCGGATAAATGAATGTGGTGCCGTCACGAAAATCCATCTCGTGCAAATGCGAAATTGTGAAATTTGCAAACCAAAAACGAAATGGCAAGACCCACGGACGCAAGTCCAGCGGTGCGAACAAATGCATCGAGCTTCTGGACACATCCTGTGTTAGCTCTCAGGGCCGTTGGTCAAAATCCCGGCAACGTTGCTTCTCTGGATCCCAACTCCGCCGACCAGGCTGCAACTGATGCGGCTTCAGCAGCTCGGCGAGCACTTGCCTTCAGTCGCACGGGTCGACTAAATGTCTTGCGAGTTAGTCAGCTAGATGGAGAGCTACTGGATACGGAGCTGACTGGGATGGTGAAGGAGCAATTTTCCTCAATATTTTCACTATTTGATGTAGGTTGTCTTCTCACGGTAGTTTGATATACCCGTAGGCTGACGACCGATGATTTTTTTTACATATCAGCGACGAACTCGTGATGAATATGATCCGGAAATCACGGCCTTCCTACAATATCTTATGTGCCATATGTCTATCTACTCAATGGGGGCAACGTACGGCCTGCAGCTACAAAATCTGAAGTATCGAAATGAAGCAAGACATGGTGGAAACGGTGAGATCCTCCCATTACGCTGACATCCGGAATATAAACTGAGCCTTTTTTTGAAATGCAGTGGAAGTTAGCGCGATAGATGCACCACTTAGCACTTGGCAAAAGATTGCACACGCGATAGCTCATGTGGGTGGTCGGTGGGGGTGGCTGCGAATAAATCGATACGCTACGACTCATGAGTGGAGCGAGCGACCCGAGGTAAATACTGCCGTCCATAATCTTTTATGACATGATCATCGAAATCTCCCACGGCAGGACGATTGGAGAAATAAAACATGGCAATATCTGCAAAAGGGGGAAACGATATACAAAGTTCTCTCGTTAGCGAACTTTCTCGTATTTCTCTATAACGGCAAGTAAGTGTATCTCCGAAACTCTGGGACTTGGCAATATCTAATACAATCTTGTTGGGTAGATACCGATCGGTCTTAGACCGGATTCTGCGAATGCGCCTCGTTTACAACCGGCGAGAGATGAATCGGCAAGTCAGCTTTGAGTTTATGAATCGCCAGCTGGTTTGGCATGCGTTTACGGTAACATTTATTCTCCCCGTGGCTATTTCTTTTGTTCATTGGTAGCGATGTTTTGCAGGAATTCTTACTCTTTTTGGTGCCTCTCATCAATGTGGAACGCGTCAAGAACTCCGTCGCTCGTGTACTGTCCGGCCCGGTGACTTTAGACTTGCCAGAGCACATATGTCCTGTTTGTCACTCCAAAAACGTGCCTCACGCCAAATTGCACACTCCATACAAAACCAATTGCGGGCACCTGTATTGTTACTACTGTATCAAGTAAGTACCGCACCTGAATTAAGCTAAATACAAAGTTCTAATCGGCTGGCCCTATAGAACAAGCATGATGATGGACAACTCATTTGCATGCATGCGTTGCGGACAAAAAGTCACGGAGATTTCTCGACACATGGTAACCGAAAAAATCGCGGATCCTTCAGTCGAGAAAAGTTTGGAAAAGGAAGGGGAATAGAAACTGAACTGCCGTCAACGTAGTCATCCTACTTTGGGGTTTTCCCCCTTGTTTTGGACGCGGCAGTTCCGGGAGTGGCGGCTTTAGCGCCTGCTTTTCCCTTGGCGCCGCCCTTTTTTCCCTTGGCCGACTTGACTGGCTTGGCTGCAGCCTGTAAATAGAAGTCACATCAATATCTAATGTACATAATCATCCCCATGCATCAATACATACCCTACGTGCATCAAGCTTTCGCTTATACCACCGTTGAATTCTTGTTGCAGCCATGTTACGCTGCCGATGCACCTTACGTTCCTCGGCCAGTCTTTGCTTGTCTAATCGGTCATCCTCCACCACTTTTTCCAATTCCTCATACGCAGCCAACAGCTCCTCGAATTTGTCCAGATCTGAGCTTCGACGTTGTTTCAGAGTCTCAATCTCAGTTGCTTTCGCCTCTGTATCCTCTTCATATTTAGTCATCCAATCTTGAATTTGACGCTCCAACATTTCTCTCTGTCGCGTCAAGAAATCCACTATCTTCTCGTGAGCTCGCTCCTCTTGCTCAATCCGTTTTATGAGAATAGTTTTTTCCTCTGTCAGCGTTGTCTCTTCATGCTGGCATCTCTGTCGAACACTGCTTTCGTGGGCTTTGGTTTCTTTCTTGATATACTTTTGCTCAGATGCAGTTAGGACATTAATCTCTTGAATTGTGTCTTTCAATTGCTGTATGACTTGATTGCGGTCATTTGTTTCGTCCTCAAGTACTTTCTTCTCATTTGAAAGCTCCTTCTGCAGCGCCTTTAAAAGCTGACTTGCATCTCTCTCACTATTTTATATTCCATGTCATAGGTAAGTACTTCGATTGACTAGGATAAGCTGTCGATTTCTCCTTACCGATCAATGGTCAGCTGTAGTGTATTTCGTTTTCGATACTCCTCCTCGACGGTCGCTACCAAGCTCTGAAACCGATAATCGCGCAGTTCCCGAATGGTTTTGCTTATAAGAGCCTGCAGGGAACTTCGCTCCTGCTGAATCTTGAGCAGGTTCTTGGCGACATTTGGGTGAGATTTCAGATTTGTGGCCAGCACTGGTAAGGTTGAGCATCGGGCGTCCAAGATCGGTCAGAGTAATGCTTACCTTGGGAGCTCTGCTTCAACTCGTTAGCCACATCCATAATGGCCATTTGGCTTTCCTTAAACTTTGTCTTGTTGGGTAACTTCTTCAGTCGATCTTGCTCAACCATCAGCTGCTCATAGCGTGCTTCTAGCGCTCGCTGGTCTTTCAGAATACGAGTGATTTGGTCCCCGAGCTAACCAAATCATTGATGAGCCATTGATTGAGGTCTCTTTTGTCTTCCTACGTCAACATACCGGTCGTACGTCGCCTTTTCCCACCATTCCACCGCCCACCCCACCTTGACCTCCGGAGCTTCCTCCCCCTTCCGCAACCCCACCGATATCTCCCAGCACAACTAATTGTTCTAAAGCATCCTCAAAGATAGCAATGTATGATTGGGCCTTCCCTGGCGGTATTGGTGGCAGGGCATCACCATCCACTATTCCACCGTCTCCATCTGATTCATACTCGTCTGTATCCACATCTAGGTCTTCCGCACGAGGACCGGCGTCTTGTGCCGAAAATGACGTTGATCCGGCCAACCGTGTTGCGTTGATTGTGGGGGGTACTGAGTCCCGGGGATGAGCTGCGAGGGTATTGGATGCGGTTGTAGCAGACAAACGTTTCATTGATAAAGAGGAATCGGTAACTGGTAAGGGGGGCAAATCATTTGATAACTTTTGAGCGGAGGTTGGCCTGCCAAAAGATGATGATACTTGTGTTTGCATGCTTGTTTTTGTCCCGTGGGGCCAAGCAATACTAGAACTGATATGCGAGTCTACTATTCAGATCGGAAAGTGAACTTGCTTTGCTTACCCAATGGGGCTTGTGCGGCGTACGGTTATGGACACGCTTTTAAGATTCATTTTCATTCGCATTGGTGGTTTAGTGGTAAAATTGCCGCTTGCCATGCGGCAGCCCCGGGTTCGATTCCCGGCCAATGCATATTGGTTTTTTCCCATTTTTTTCTCACAACATCTGTATGTATGCCCACCACCCCTTTGCGGTGACTTTTTGCTCGCGGACTTACTTTCAGCCTTTACTTGAAACTGTTTGTTCTGAAATCTCCGGTAAATGTTGCGGCGGGTGCATCCACTATTTCTAGTTATCAAGAGTAGCAAGAGAAGTTGTGGAACGTAATTTATTTGAGGACTAGCCGTTATAAATGTCCGTCCATACATCATGTAAAGTAAAAGGCCGCAGACGCAGTAACACTTCTCGCATTGATGCACGTATTACGTTTGGAATTGGAACCAGACTAGCCTGACCGATAGCAGATTTCTTCGACTCTGGCGGGGTACACTCCAAAAGGCGACACATCCGTTTGACGATCTGTACTCTACTGGAAGGATTCGAGGCTGTGATAAGCGGCATTCGCAGGCTGATTGCAGAAATGCGCTCGCGGAAACAATATGGAGACGATCCAGACGGTGATGCGAGGAGAATAGATCCAAGGCAGCCCTCCCATGCGTGACAGATGCCCTGTACAGCTTTATCGGCGGCAGTACTTGAGTTCCTCTTCGTAGCAGCGTCCGCGCATAGCAAGACAATAACATCCAGCAGGCGAACAAGCCATGGAATCCATGCCTGCATGAGCTGATCGTCCCGCTTCAAATCGAGTCGGAGTGATTCCTTGGACGTTTCCCAGGAGGAGGTATCCAGTGGCGGTAGTATCTCGTGCAGCGTCTTACTGAACACGTTCACAATAGTTGAGCCCATGGTATCGTGTGAGTTGATGAAGCCTTCGCGGAGTAAACGGACTAGCAGAGAGGTTACAGCAGCGTCAACGTCTTCTTCTCTATTTCCTGTGGCCCGAGTAAGGACTCGCGCCGCGGACTTGCAACCTGTAGTAGCCTCCAAATTCTTCCCTACAGCTAAACTAATAACTGCACTGAGAGTCCACCCCTTCTTATCGGTCCACAGTCCAACAGGCTGTAGCAATTGAGACAAGGATTCCAAAACAGACTCGCTTCCGTTGACGGTGCTACAGGTGATCGTCCCTGCCACAAGATCGCATTCGAAGCCATTTTCAAGGTGGTCCGGGATCGTCTGATATATTTTGGAAAAGACCAACTCAGTCAGAGAGGCAGCAAGAGGTGCCGATGCTGCTGGTTGCGTGATTCCCAAGAAAGAAGATATGGTCTCAATGAAGAGACCCTGAAGGTCACTCCTAGTCTCTAAGTTCGCCACGGACGTATTCCGACGGAACACCTTGTCAGTCATGTTCGAAATGATCTCAATAGTCTTGCTGGGAGCGACAATTGGAAGATTGTTCGAGACTTTGCCATATTCATGTCTTTGTGATAATCCTCCTATTTGGCACAGTATACCGAGACCATTTGCCGAGACAGACCGCATGAATTCATCTACGATTCGATCATCCATCTCATCAGTGCTAGTCATATTGATACTCGAAATGATGGTATTCAGGAAGTAGTCAGTCAATGAAGTGGCTGCATCCGGACGCACAACCTGGTTGGTAGCCATGTCGTAGAAGATGTCAGCGAGAGACTCCTCTCTATAATCGTCACGGTCATTGCCAAGTAGTTGTAAGTTCTTAACAATACCCGTCCAGTCTACCGGAGGTAGTGCGCAATCGGCGTCACGCAACGAGTCCAGCAAGATGCGTAATCCAACAAAGTTAACTGGGTCAAGCTCCTGTGCAACATCCCCGCCGCTTGCCAATATCCGCAACTTCTGAGACAACGCATCATACACTCCCCGCAAAAAGCTGGATCCTGCACTTAGCCGGCTATATGATGCAGGGTCACGTCGCTTGCTGCCCATTTGTATCGTAGCGGAAGGGCCGGCCGACTCTGCAGCTGAGTGTGCAAGAGCTGCAAAGAGAGCAGACATAGTTTGACTGGAGGAACCGTTTTCCGGAACACTTGATTGCAATGCAGAGCGACAAAGCCTTCCTAGAGTCCAAGCAGCTGCTCGCTTAACTCGTACATCTCCCAGCTTTTGTGTGACAATTGTCCGCATCATATCGGTCACTTGACGAAGAAGTATTAGATCTTGAGCCTGCTTAGGGATTTCCTCCTCCTCAGGATTATCCGAAGTTCTTCGGCTCGCTGAATTTGTCCAGTCGAATTCTGGATCAAGAACTATTGGAAGCGCAAATATGGCAGCTACACGTAAACCCGTGGAGAATGATTCCATGCTAGCCATCTGACAAAGCTCCTCAGCTTGTACTTTTGTGGCCTCTGCATCAGCTGGTTTAACACCCGATTTCTTCTTCGGTTTCTTTACTACTCGCATATGCCTCAAAATCCGGGTTCTGCAAATGAGAGTGGTGGAGCACAAGTCTTCCAGGTTCCGCTTATTTGTCGCATAATCAATCACGGAGCGAAAAGCTTCCTCTAGGGTCCAAGTCACTTGCATTCTACCACCGCTGGAGAAGTTTGCGCCTGACGTGATTGCGGCGGATGCGATAACTGCTGCCGCCTCCAACTCCACAGCTTCTTCTACTGTCAGAATGTCCACGCGTTCTGCCAAAGCACAGACTTTGTCAACACCCTCTTGCTGTACAAATAGGGAAATGGCTTCTCTGGTATAAGTGTCTCCCTCCGGATGAAATGTGGCACCACTGAGGCCAGCAGCAAGTCCATAGCTCGCAGCTTTTTTCAGACTAGGGGACCAGTTCCTGAACAACGCAGTGAACTCATTCAGATGTGCCTGTGTAATCGGACTTGGTGCAAGAGTGACTCTTGTCACAAGAGCCCAGCTATAACCAAATGCGAAATCCGTATAATGGGAATTACTGGATGTGGAAAGTTTTGTGGCTTCGTCCACATGTAGCATGTCCTTCAGTCCATCCAGTATTTCAGAAATCGCCTGGTCATCGCTACGATGCAAGCCACGCACTATGGCACCAAGTGCTAGTGCAGTAGCCGATAGGATCTCCTCATTTGCTGCCAGCGTATGATCAGAAGTCAAGCCTGCACGCAAGAACTTGTCGCGGAGAAATGTTGCCAACTGACTCACGCTGGCCGTAGCAGTCGCCACATTCAGATTGCCAGCCGCCAGAATCAAACCAGCCAGTGATAAAATAATGTTGGCTGTGGTACTCGGCACTCTAGCTTCCGATAGCCGTTTCCCGATCAAGTCATTATAAGATGCTTCCACAAAGTCAGTAAGCTTCTTCGTCTTCTCTCCTGCGAGACTATCCTCCGCGGAACAAAAGAACGCGAGTAGAGCATTCTCCCAAAAGGTCACATAAACAGAAACAGTATCGTAGCGTAAAAGTTCATGGTCCGCAAACGCGAGATCACGCAAAGATTGCGATACGTGGCGCTGAACGGCCGTAATAGCTGCGGTGTTTGAGGCCATTGGCGGTAGATGGGTCATGAGTGAGAAGGCAGCTAAGCTCGACCGTAGCCCTGCAGGCGCCCGCGAACCGCTTCCATCCCACATTCCGTTGAGTTCAGTGGTCACATCTCGAGCAACTTTGACTAATTTATCTTGCGCAATTTTTTCAACGTCGTCAACCTCTACGTTCTGATCCGCAACGCGACCTCCACTTGTTGCTGCTAAACCCTTGAAAACCGGTCGGCCCATGTGTTTGCATTCATGCATGATTAAGGCCGTTAGCAGTTCCGCGGTTTCGCTCGGGATCTCGGAGGCAAGTTCATTTTCGACAATCTGAGAAACAAACTCGGAGGGAGAACCCAATAGTGGGTAAAGATCGGGGGCCGGAAACCTGGCGAGTGTCTTCATGACGGCAGTACGAACAGCCGGATCGTCATGCGTATGTAAAGGCCATAAGTGGTTGTTTAATATGTCGAGTTTGAAAGCCTGGTATACATCAGATTGTTCCTCTTTGTTGGCAACTGACGCATAATATTGGCATAATCCGACGAGGATTTTGGCATCCACGCTGCGCGGTAGAGATTTGGCATATTGTGACATGAAAACGTTCCACACAGCGGGGGGATCCGTAATGTCCGCTTCAATACAGGCCGTTAATGACTCCAATGCGAGTGGTACCGTAGAAGGATGTAATTCCGCAGACGGAATGATCGCCATAATCTGAGGCAGGAGGTCCTGACCGACATCAGCAGCATCCTCCAGGCAGAAATCTCGTATTGTTGTAATGACTGCAATCTCAATATCGTATTCATCTTTCCAAGTTCCGTGCGTCTGCCACTTAATCGGCCGTCCGTGCCGTCGCCGTTTGATGTAAGTTGCAAAGTAGCCTCTGAACTGACCCCATACTCGCGGTTGTCGCCGCCAAAGCGACAAGACCATCCGTAGCCCCACACTTGCCATGGCGCAATTAGCAATTGACGTTTCAGACTTGGATATCGAACCATTGCCGAGGAGCGACTGCGCGATGCGAACAACTCGGGCCGTGACGAAAGCCCCTCCAGAAGTCGTAAGAGCGGGAAAGGCATGTAAGAGTACATGCAGTTGTACCTTCGGCGATGGATCCTTGTTCAGGACATCAAATAAAAGCGGAAGTAGCAGGATGCACGTGGATGCATTGTTGGCATGCTCTTCACAGAGAGTCGTGAGTGCAGCCACGCGATCGTTTTCCTTATAATTGAAAATGGGAGCGCTAGCGAAAAGCACGTCTATACTGGCATTGATACCATAACAATAGTCAGATCTCTCTCCAATAGAGTGATCCCCGAAGCTCAAAATCCGATTTCGAATGCCAGATAGCAAAATTGCAAACACTCCATCGGCGCGGACTGAGCTCAGGTTCGCAAGCTGGGCCGAAGTCAGTACATATCTTCGCAAAAACTGGGACTCTGCTCAACCTACCTCCTCTCTTTTCACCCGCTGTGCGACTGGTTGCCGAAGCACGGAGCGATGCAATATCTGTAGGATATCAGCAGCCTTTCTTCGGCTCATTGTGTGCGTTGACTCGGAAACCGTCTGTATTAAAGGGAGAACTACCAAAGGTAGTACTATTCGGATCATGGGTAATGTCACATCCA